ACAGAAGTTGTTGGAAAAGCTCAGCAGGTCTGGCAGCATCTGTGAAGAGAAATCAGAGTTAACGTTTCAGATCTGGTGACCTTTCCTCAGAACCGTTCTGAGGAAGGGTTACCGGATCCGAAACATTAACTCTGATTTTTCTTCAGAGGTGCTGCCAGACCTGCTGAGCTTTTCCAACAACTTCTGTCTTTGTTTCAGCTTCTTTAAATGATGCTTGCAATGACTGTTAGGTTGTCTGCGTTCACAACATGCAGCAATCCTTAGTTTTGAAACCATTCTTCTTCTATATTAGTCCACAAACAGAAATAGAAAATTAAAAAGATGAGGTCTTTACAAGAGTGTGCTTTTAGTGATGGGTTTTGATGCTGCATGAATTGCTGTTGTGATGATCTTACAAGGTTTCCCTGTTTTCCAGAACCCCTGGAACATTATGATCAAGCACCGCCAAGTTGCTCGAAGGGGTCGGAGATCACAGATGGCAGTGAGGTAAAACATTTTTATTGATTTTTGTGAGAGTGTATTGTCCTCAGACCTGGTCAAGGATCAGGAATCTGCATATTAGACGTGAAGTTGGAAGTAGGATTCTTTACAAATCTGTTAATTCTGGCTAGCACCAGTATTAGGCCAAATTACCAGATTATTCTTAAAAACTCAACTGGGTCCATCGGTGCCCTCCTCTAAAGGGAAGCCGCTATCCTGATTTGGTGGGCCACCATGTGACTCCAGTCACTCAGTACATGGCTGACTTTTAGGGCAAATGGTGTTGGACAATAAATAGAGTATTGCAAGAATCTCACACAGTTCATGAAAATAGAGGTATCTTCAGCCTTTGTATATATCTGCCTATTTGGCCAGTTGTGTGAGACAATCTGTGTTTACAGCTAGCATCATAAGACTTTAGGACCTTTTGGATTTCTGATCATGAGTTTGATTGGGCTGATCAATGCTGGGGGATTTCCTGTATGAGAATAGAGATCAGTCTACAGAACTGATTTGGCAGCAAGAAACACTAGAAGTGAATTTGTCGTCATCTCAAACTCACTGAAATAGCCTCAACTCGTCAGATTCAGAATCTTTCGCCTGGGTCCCCAGGCTGTGAGTGTAAAACCAAGAGGAATGGCTGACTTGGGGATGGCCTCAACCTGAGCCCAGGATGTAAGCAACAGACTCTCCTTACATTCCCCTCTGCATATTGAAGAGAGGCTGCTCCCCCATCACTCTCACTGCCTCTAAAAAGACTGTATTGTGTTGAAACTGTGAGGCAGCAGTGCTAACCACTGAGCCACTGGGCTGCCCCAGCTGGCATACAGGACAAAAATGCTATGTAACACCCATTCTCCCTCAGGTTAGAACTGGTTCTGAAAGGAGCTGTAGATGATCAGAGGATGTCAAATAATCTATTAAAAGGTGTTTTTGTCATAGAGTTCAAACAGATGAAATGCTATACTCTCTCATTTCACCAGCTTCACCAATCCAAGCGTATCCATGGATTTACTGCGAACTGTACTGCAGCCCCACATCAATGAAGAGATCCGTGCTGTTATCAACAAGTACACCAAGGTAAGCTGTCCCATCTAAGCACTCTTCTCTGACTGTAGGTTAGGGAAAGCCTGTCCATGCTGCTCACTCTGTGGATTAGCAGATTAAACTCTACAGACTAGTCTCAGATTTATGGTATATTGGTCCTGTAGTCAGCTTTTTTCAAATATATCTCATTATTTCTTTGTAGTTTTAGCAGTGTTGAACAGTCTACTAGCCTCGGTTTCTGTCTTATCCTGTTGAAGATACCATAATCAGAATTGAACATCTTAACTGTTAAAGATTTTCCTTTACAAAATTATAATTTGAACTTTGTCATGTTTTTATGATAACTGTTAGATAAATGTTGCCTCACAGTTCAGTTCTTAGCCAAGTCATGGGAAATAAGCAGGTGATTGGCACTCAGTCATGATGCTGATTGAATGAGTCAGTGCAGGGGCGATGGGCTGAATGACATCCTTCTGCACTGTAACAATACTGACAGGGTCTGGCTTATTACTAAATCTGCACTGACCTAGCCTCTCATTGGCACGAGAGAATATTGCTCTAGAAAGCTATCTTGATCACACTCAGGAAATTCACTTGTGACTCAGCTCTTATATAGTGATTCTTAAAGGTATTTTTATGTCAACCTTTTCAAATGTGTAATGACACACCTCTGGAGCAGGTGGGACTTGAACTTGGGCCTTTTGGCATTACGATTCCTACATTCCTCTTACTGCAATACAGGCTAAGTCTCGCCTTTTGTACACAATTCTCTATAATTATGAAACCATTGCTGATTGTCAGAAAAACCCCATGTGGTTTGCTCATGTCCATTAGGGAAGGAAACTTCTCTCCTTACCTGGTCTGGCCTACATGTGACTCCGGACCCACAGCAATGTGTTGATTCTTAACTGCCCTCTGGGCAATTAGGGATGGGCAGTAAATGCTGACCTGGGCAGCGTGTGAATGCTCCATGTTGTGTGAATGCATATTTAAGAAGTTACCATTTCATTACTATGGTGAGGAGGCATGTTGTAATTCCCATCACAGTTTCAAGACCTCTCTTATTAAACAATTGTAATCATGAAATCTGCTGATGGCCTTCCCATACCAAATCCTAAAATGCAAAGATGCGTTTGTGTCTTTAAGTGGTTTCCACAGACCTTTCCAAATGGATTTTTTTTCAATAACGTGGGTATTGCTGGCATTTATTGCCCTGGGTAAGGTGGTAGTGAGCTGTGAGGTCCATCAAGTGATGATGGAGGCAAATGCAAGAGAAATCGAATATAAAAGTGGGAATATTCAGCTGCAGTTGTAAAGGGCCTTGATGCAACCACATCTGGAACACTGTGTACAGTTTTAATCCCCTTGTGTAAGAAAAGATAGAATTATATTAGAATCATTTCAGAGAACATTCATTTGACTGATTTCTGGGATGAAGGGCTTATTTTATGAGGAAGAGTTTGGATTTTGCCTGGTTCCATTGTAGTTTAAAAGAATGAGATGTGATCTTAAATAAATGCTTGGTCATACAGAACTCAAACATTGCTAAAATAAAATATTCAGTGTTGAAGCTTTTCACTTTGAACTCATCAGGACTGTGACTCAAGAAACTGAACATGGAAAGGAACACCTATTTATGAAACTTGAGAAGAGAGTGCTGATTGGTTGACATGGGGATGCAGCAAAAGTTGTTCACTGTCAATTTTAGCTGCACAACTCAGACCAGTCAGGTAGACTGTGGTTGGTGCTGGCATGGGAATACAGTAAGGATTGACAGTCACCATGACCCTTCCCTTGATGAAGGAAGTTCCTTTTGCCTACAAAGAACACGGCTTGTGTTACTTCATGTGGCTTCTAACATGTGCAAATCCATCATGCTGCAAACCGAACTGATGATCTAAATTATTTTCCGGTGTGTAATTCTGAGCACAGTTAGAATTATTGTAGATGTTGTTCAGTAGCAGAATTGCATCTGTGTTCTGAGGTTTGTAAGCATGGGCTGGTTGAGTGCGATTGGCCAATTGCATTCCCAGCATATGCTGTTATCAAGCCAACATTTTGTCCATCACAAGTCATGTAATGTGGGTTTTAGTGTCAATGAGATGCCAGGTATGTGGGTTATACCATCCAAAGACTCGTGGACTGTATCAAACAGCACGTCTCCTTGACCATTGGTAGTGGGCAACATGCAGACACGAGTTGCACCATTATATGCTAAATTGTGAATTGAGCTAAATGCCGTGCAGTAATCAGTGAAGATTTCCACTTTTGACCGTATGATGGAAGAAAGTTCATTGATCAAACAGCTAATGATGGTTGGGCCTCGAACACTTCCATGGATGAACTTCTACATTGATGTGTTGGGATTGGGATGATTGACCCCCAGTAACTGGCTTGGTGCTACATATATGTAAGTCAGTAGATTGTTCTTCCTGATTCCAATTTTTTAAAATCAATTTTGTGATGACTGTTGAGTACTAAGCTGAATGTTGCTTTTGGAAAGGACTGTCAGTCTCACCTACTTTATGGATTAAACTCTTTTTTTTTTCATTTTTGGACCAAAGCTGTAACGTGGTCAGCAACCAAGTGTCCTTGGTGGAACCCAAACTGAGCAGGTTCTTGCTGAGTAGGTGATGCTTGATAGAGTTGTGGAAGACACATTCCATAACTATGATGATCAAGAGTTGACTGATGAGATAGTGTAAGGGACCACACAATTTTCCTTTTTAGACTATAACTGGAATGGAAGTTTTCTGTGTAGCTGAGATACCAGGAGAAATTTATACTTGTGCGAGACGGTGCTGCTTTTTACCAGCCTTGGGATTGGCTGAGTTGTAGTTTGCTACACGTCTGTAATTGCCGAGTAAAAAGGCAGAAAAGTTCAAAAAAAATCTTAAAACAAATAATTCAAAATGAGAGAAAATGGTTCACTGGGTCACCTATCAAAGTGAAGAATGACTATCGCTTTACAGACAACAGCATGTCATTATTGTTAAAAACCAAAAGGAAATGAGAATTTAACCCACCCTTGAGACATTGGCACTTGATCTACTTCTGTTTATTCTGGCTCTCTTTATTTTTCCATCTGTAATATTTATATCAAATCATCTGTCCTTGTATTTCTTAATTGTGAATATGTGTGTTTATTTAAAGAACTGTAAGTCATATCATGTTCGATGAGGAATCTTTGCTGTGCCATTTGTGAAAGTTAAATGTGCCTACAACAAATAGTTATTTTCTGTAATCTGTGAATTGCTTTTATCTTCAATAGCAATCAGTAAGGCAAATTGATCATTTCGGTTGACTAATTAGGATTTATGTTCTGTGACAGTTGTGGAACAGTAGATTATTGATGCTTTCTTACTAATGAAATCATGACAGCGATAATTGGCTAGATCAGATTTGTCCCTTTTTTTCTTTGTGAACAGGACAATCTGGGCAATATTCCACATTGTTAGTTGATTGTCAACATTGTAGTTGCACTGAAACAGCCTAGCTAGGGGTGTAACTGGTTCTGGAATACAGATCTTCAGTACTGCAGCCGGGATGTTGTTGGGCTCATTATCTCATCTGTTTCTTGATGGCTGCTCATGACATGCTTTTCTACAATTCTGATCATGGCCAACTTTCCACCATATCCCTCTATTTGCTGCCACATCATACGTTCTAAGCTCTATATGAGTCTGATTTATATTCTTTCCACTAAGCTTCAGTATACAAAACACTTACGCTTAATCTTTAATCTGTCCTTTTGTCCCGACATTTAAATTCAAATGTTCCTTCAAATGTGCGAATGTTACTTAACTTTAGTATTCCCATCCTGGCTTAGTGAGTTAATTTATATATAGACTGTGCCGCCTCTCTCCTGGGGTCAATGCTTAAAGATTAACTTGTATGCTCATTGGTTTGAAGTGCTACCCTTTGTAGGTGCACAGTACTCTCTGAGCTTGCTTGCTTGTTTTACTGTCGTTTCTGACTGAATTGGTCTACAGTTTTTCCAGAAGGCTGCGTGGAATGTGAAGGAAAACATCGGAGAAGATGTGGATCCTGAGCAATTGGTGCAGGAAACCTGTAAAAACTGCCTGGAACAGGTAGGGGAATGTCAGGAGTAGAGAAAGGAGCACCTTGATCCACATAACACCATACCTTGTTTTTCTGTTAATTATATTTTGCAGTGCAGGGGCTGTCTCAGTTACACTTAAACCTTTGCAGCATTTACAATAAGATGTTAGTAATCCCATTGGAGACAACAAATGCAGGGGGACAAAGGTCAGATGAGTGGTTAATGATGGTTCTGAATCCTTTCCATATTAGGGAGTAGATTTTTTAAAACTATTCTGATAGATAATAGGGTCAAAGTTATGAAATTCAGTATGTGATGTTAACCATTAATAACAATAACTACACTCACACTGTCTGGTTCCCCTTACAATTCCATGCGCTAGAAAATTCACTTTTAGGGTGGAGGAGATTGGCCGGACAAGGGTAGGTGAGTTCTGAAGTATTTACTCCAGCATTGCTCTTTTTATACATCTTTCTCTAGTGCAGATTCACTTATCAAAGGGCTATCTAGGATGCCCTCCCATACAGCTTATCAAGACTTTCACTTGAGGCTGGGAGGAGTTGATATTTAAAAACATTGACTACTCAGTGATCAAATGGAGACATGTACAGCTCACTGCTGAAAAATCTGTGGTAACCCTTGAACAAAGAGATTCTATAGCCTCTGCAGTCCTCTTGCTTTTCATCTATCTTAAAGTGAAAGTGAAACTGACATTTCTGGTCTTCACATAAAATCTTTGACACGGGGTAAAAGCTACAAGTCAGAATTTATGAACTAACCACTTTGTCACATCAGTTAATGAAGATTGTTAATTGTGTGAGATGAAAATAAAAGGCATTGGATAGAGAGACACGAGGATGTGGTTAGAGTGGAGAACTTGAACGGATATACAGAGATGATGAGCCGAGCAATGATAATGTGTGATATTGTCATTACGTGTTTATTCAGAGAATTACTGTGACAACAGAGGGTTCTTTGCTTTTGTGTGAATTGTAGTTGTCAGCCAGCACCTCACTATTTTCTTACCACCCCTCCAACTGCAGGCTAAGTTGATGTATTCAGATGGAGGAAAGATGATTACCAAATCCATTGGAGAGCTTGCTGCCATAAAGGTGGGCATTGATTTGAACTTTGAGCACAGATTAATTAAGCACAACTAATACCTTGCTCCACTGAATGTCAGGGGAAGTCACAGTGCTGTTTATTTCTGTTTGGAATAATTGCTTGTCCATTGACAGGTGACAGAGAGCTGGCTAGTGTAACCAAGCTGCCATCATCCAGGTCCTGCTCATTAATTCCAGCCAGTACAGTTGGGCTCGGGTCTGCCTATTCTCAATTATGTCACGAGTTGGCCTCCTGCACTGGTCCTTTCTGTTGGTCCAAGAGCATCACCAGTCAAGTTGGTGAAGTCTGCAGTCTGGATATTGACCTCATAACTGAAAGGGAGTGACATATCTTGGGACTTCGAAGAATTCTCTGAGCCTTTGCTCCAGAGATTTTGAAAACTTGCAGGTTGAGCCAAGTACTTGATGACTGGCTATTCGTGTTATAAAATATGTGTGAGATTCTTTTCATCCTGTTAAACCTTGAGCAGTTTGAAGCGATGAAGCTTTATTTTGTTTCCAAGGCTGGTTTTGAAACTGAGTGCATTCTTCAGTCTTACCAGAGACCTACTCACTGTGATTTTGGGCAATAATCTTCAAAGCAGAAAGATCAATCAACTATTAATCTATGAACTTGTTAGTGATCATAATGTAACAGTGGAACCATTAAACCTCTCGATCCTACTCCTTCAGTTTAGATCATGCCGTAGCCACATTCCTGCTCTATCCCCATATCCCTTGATGGTGCCATTAGAAGCTAGAATTCTCTTGAGCTCTGTCTTAAGCTTAATGATTGACCTTCTGCAGCGCTCTGGGGTGGTGATTTTCAAAGATGCACCGTCCTTTGAGTGGGGAAATTTCTTCTCATCTCAGTCTGAAAAACCTTGCCTTTTATTATGAAACTATCTCCCCTGATTCCAGTACCCATAGCTGCGAGAAATGACCTTTCTACATCCGTCCTGTCCAGCCCTTTAAGAATTTTGTAAGTTTCTGTGAAATCATCCCTTCTCCGCAGTCTCTCCTCGTAGAACCATCCCAGGATTCAGTGTAGTGAACATCCACTGCACTCCCTCTATGTCAAATATTTGCTTCTGTCATGTCTCACTGGGGAAGCACACTGTAAATCAAGCTCCAGTATTCCTGGAGCTGTCCCAAAGATAAAGATTTTTAAAAGTGTGTATGATTTCACAATTCTCCTGTCTTTCAGACCCAAACCACAAAACAGGGGTTTCTGTGTTTAAGAACAAAGTGGCCTTGGGCGCTCCCAACTTTTCCCTCGCTACCTGTTTTGCTTTCACCCTTCCATTTTTTGCCCCATTTTGAATTTGAAGGTGACAGTAAAAGGGTTTAGTTTAATGGATTAGCTCTGTTATCGGCCATTATTTCTGTCTGTCTAACATTTGCAACCCATTTATCCTCAAGATTGGTTTTTATTATGGGAAGTAGAGAATTTTTAAATTCCTCCAGAAGAATGATCTCTCCAAGAACTTCATATCATGGGTTTCAGCTTCTAATGCTCATATTCATATACTTCAACGGTGCTTTATTGTCCATGAGGTACTTTTGATGTGTTGAGATTAAGAGGGGTGCCATTTATATAAATGTTCTTTTGTTATTTCTCCTTCTCATTCAGCTGGACAGCAACCAGTGTGATATTTTAATGTAAAATGTGTCTTATTACAGCGGTCTCGACAACTGGAGGATGATCTGAGCCAGAGAGGAAGTCCAATCCCAAAGAAGGTCAGCATGAGTGACGCTGGAAATAGGGAGCTGAACTAAAGACAAAGCCAGTGGTTGAAATTTGTAGGAATTTGAGAATGTGGTAGTTCCTGCTGGGCACGATGCTAGGGTGACTTTTCCAGGGTGATTTCCCCATCTCTTCTGAAGGCACTGGCCCCACCCTTGCATGGTTTGGCAGCCTATGGTTATATTATAGCATAAATAATCCAGAGGCCTGGTCTAAAAATCCAGAGACTTCAGGTTTCACCATAGCAACTAGGAATTTACATTCAGTTAATCAAATAAATCTGGGAGTTTAAAAAAAAAAGTCTCAGTAATGATTTTGTGTGATAACCAGAGTATCCAAAAAATCTGTTTGGTTCACTAATGTCCCTTTGGGCAGGTAACCTGACCTCAGACTGCCCATACATTGACAAGAAGCTTTTAACATATAGGGCACTGCACGGTACAGTTTGGGTTAGATTAACACACACATTCTTGCTTTGAAATCCAAAGGCAAATTGCAAAACTGGAATTCAGTGAATCCTGTATTTGCTGTAAAAACACATTTAATTACAAATTTCCTTCTGGGAGGGGAGGCCGTCTTCCCATCCCATCTCGTTTAACTGTCACTCTACCCTTAGACTGGATGACTGAAACTTCATGGCATCTGACAAAATATGGTACCTTGTCTATGCCACTCACATCCCAAGAGCAAGGTATTGTGCTTTCACCTAGCTCCCTAACTGACTGTGGTCCATCGTTGGTAATTGGTTTGTCTGTGGGGACTATCCCAAACACTGGAGCAACCTAATGTTCATCATTCATCATTCTGAGTTGTCTTGGGAAGCTAGATGAGCCGAAGCTCAGATACTCTGACCATTATGCCCACTGAACTTCAGAACCTTGCCAAAGGTACCAAGTCGAGCTAGTATCTTCCACTGTGCTTGGCGAATAGCATGTTAATATAACAACAGAGCACGCAGAACAGGCAATGATTAACTGGGAGCATGGTGCATCTCCTGGCCCTGCTGCAGCCCGTGCAAAATTATGGTAGAAGCTGAAATGGGAGAAGGTTGCTCTGTGACAGTAGGAACTGCAGATGCTGGAGAATCTGAGACAACAAGGTGCAGAGCTGGATGAACACAGCAGGCCAA